GAAAGAAAGAAAGAAAGAAAGAAAGAAAGAAAGAAAGAAAGAAAGAAAGAAAGAAAGAAAGAAAGAAAGAAAGAAAAAAGAAAGATCCTTAGACCTACAGTAAGTTTTAAACTTATTTTTCATTTTAAAATATTTATTTTTATTTTATGTGTATGAGTGGTTTGTCACGTTTGTGCACAGTGTGTGTCCCTGGTGCCCAGGGAACAGAAGTTATAGACATTCATGAGATCCCTGATGTGGGTTCTGAGAACCAGACTCTAGACCACTGCAAGGGCAGCAAGTGCTCTTAACTGCTGAGCCATCTCTCCAGCCCCACAATAGGCTTTTTAGTAATTAATAGTCTTATGGAAAGGAATTGTATACCAAGGATTTTCGTGTGTGTGTGTTTGTGTGCTATATGCACATGTGTGTATGTGTATGCATATTTTCTGTCCTTGTCCACGGAAGAGGCTTAAAAAGCTTTACCATCCAGTATAATTAAGATTCCCAAGAGAGGATGCTTGAATCTCACTCAGAAGGGAAATAAAATAAGCATTGGAAGTGGATGGATGGAGGGAACTGAGTATGAGAGGGTATGGAAAGGGGAGCACAGGTGGGGATGAGGAATAGTGAGCAGGGAGGGCCTGGTGAGAAAACTGAAATGGAAGGTGGGGGCATGCAAGAAATGTAGAAGAGGGGAGGCCCAGGAAGTATATGGGGGTTACCCTAGCTGAGCTCCTAGCAGCGGGGGATATGGAGCCTGAAGCCACCTCCTGTAACCAGGCAGGACTTCCAGTGGAGGGAGGAGGACACCAACCCACCCACAAAACCCTCTACCCAAAATTTGTCTTGCCTACAAGATGTGCAGGGACAAAGATGGAACAGAGATTGAGTGTTGTAGGTGGTTATTAATATTTACTATTGGTTTATCTTCTAGTAATGCTGCTGTTAATCCTCAGCAGCTGTATAACCAAATCACCACACAGAGACTGGGTTTTTAGTTAACCTAGAACACAATGCTGGGCAATATTTACTCCCTCTTAAACCTCCAAGCCCTCAGTTTCCTAACATTTAGATTTCCCACATTATACTTGCTTTTTGTGAAATCTTAGGTCTGGTTCATGCTCCATATCCTCCAAGATCTCTCCTCCAGCTCTGCTCTCCTCCCTCTCCTCTCACCCCTTCTCCTCCTTCTCCTCCCACTCCTCTCCCGCCTTCTGGCTCCTCCCTGCTCAACATTGTGTCTAATTGCTTTATTTTGTCCTGTTTACACAAGAGTTGAGACAGGATGCTTAGAATGAGTATCACCATGTAATATCCGGATTAAAACCAGAGAGTTGGGGGTGGAGTGGGGGAGAAATCAGTATTTGAATGAACAAGGGTAAGGTGTATACATTAAAAAAAATTATACCAACAATTGAGGGAATGGCCAAACAAAGACTGGCCTACTTGAGACCCATCCATGGGAGAGAACCAGTCCCTGACACTATTAATGTTACTCTGCTATGCTTGCAGACAGGAGCCTAGCATAACTCCTCTGAGAGGCTTCACCCTGCACTTGATGAAAACAGATGCAGAGATCCACAGCCAAACATTAGACAGAGATCTGGAAGTCCTATGGAATAGTTGGGGGAAAAATTGAGGGAACCGGTGGGGTCAAGGAATCCACAAGAAGACCTACAGAGTCAACTAACCTGGGCCAATGGGGGCTCACAGAGACTGAACCACCAAACACAGAGCATACATGGACTGGTCTTAGGCCCCCTGCACATATGTAGTAGATGCCGAGCTTGGTCATTATATGGGTCCCCCAACAACTGGAATGGGGACCCTCTCTGATTCTGATGCCTGCCTTTGGATTCCGTTCTCCTTGCTGTGCTACTTTGTCTGGTAGGATGTGCCTAGTCATGCAAGGACTTAATGTGCCAGAGTGGGTTAGTACCCTTGGGGAAACTCCCCCTTCTCTTAGGAGGAGAGGGGAAAATGGAGAGAAGAGTGTATGAGGAAGGACTGGGAAAAGAGGGGTCTGCAATCAGGATATAAAGCAAATTAATTAATTAATTAATTAATTAATTAATTAATTAATTAATGGGAAAAACTCCAAGTACCCAGGCTTTAGTCTTAATATTAAAACTTGTCACAAAACAAAACAAAAATACCAAATAACAACAAAAGTAACAACAACAAAACACAGATTCCTAAGAAGAATAACTGATTTTAAGCCTCAGAAATGTGCATGACAGGTTGGAATACCTGGCTATTCCAGTTGCTGAGGAAGTTCTGTGAGGTTATTTGAGCTCATGCTCAAATTGAAGAACAGATTCTGCCCTTCTGGTCAAAGAACAGGTTATTTGAGCTTAGGATAATGGTCAGGATAATGGTTGTAATTGACTGAAATATCTCAGGTATGTTTAAATCATGACTTAGAAGCATTTTAAAGAAAATGATTACTTTGGGATAATAGCAGAAAACCAGTGCACTCTCTTGAAAACTGTTAAGTTAAAAAAGAGAGAGAGAATAATTTGTTCTGATTTTTTAAATTAAACTCTGTACTATAAGAAAATATTCAAATAAGATGATGAGGAAACAGGTCAAGTATACTTCAATGAAGAAATGATCGGTTATGCTATAAATTAATATCCTTGGGAGGTGTCCCCTTCTCTGAGGAGGGGAGGTGAGGGAGGAAAGGGAAGCTAGAGGGACTGGGAGGAAAGGAGGAAGGGAAAGCTCTGATGGTGATGTAAATAAATTAATAAATTAATGAAAAAAAATGATCAGTTAAAATGTTCCAATCATGTATCACTCAATAAGCTGATACATCTTACCATGAAGTATCAACAGCCACCAGAGTTGCAGAGAGGAAAGAGGAAGGGAGGAAGGGAGGGAGCAAGGTATGGGACGGGGGAGAAAGACAGACAAAGATGGAGACAAAAACAGAGAGAGAGAAAGAGAGAGAGAGAGAGAGAGAGAGAGAGAGAGAGGGAATGAGAATACCATGTATCATTTTGCCAAAGGAATCAAACTGGAGTGTTCTAGCTGAGGTTCCAGGTCTGAGAAACTGGAGAGCTCAGAAAGAACATGTTCAGTTACACTATAGGCAGAAAAATCCCAGGCTTTGGAAAGCCTTACAGGACAAATTTCACAGGTAAATTTTATGAGAAAGGAAAAGATGAAAAGCTAAGTTTTAGATTGTAATAGACCTGGGAGACACATCAGAAATGTAAAATGAGGACAAGAAGATAGTTATGCTAAGTCTATAAAGAAACATGAAAAAAAAAAATACTACAAAGTATAGATGTTTTCTTTTGCAGGTAAGTAGAAGGGCCATGACTGTACAGAGCATGTGGGTGGGACCTCTGTGGAGGATAATTATCTGTTCTTTCTGACCTGGGCTGTTTACACGGGGGCTTAACTTTAAAAACAAGCAAACAAAAAACAACCGCATGTTCATTTTATGTGATTTCTACATCTGTTTTCATTTACCCCAAAAATAGTTTTAAAACTTGGTAACAAGATAACTACAGCTTACTTAGGTTCATATGACTGAATGTGTAAATACTAAATCCTGCAGAAACAATAGTCACTAAGTTTGCTTCTCTTTATGGAAGTTGGTAGAAAATAGAACTGGGGCAGACAGAGCCAGAAGGTGTTTCAAGTTTATCTGCCATAATTTAATTTCACCAAAGACTTGATATAAATATACTGAGATCTTAACAATGATCCATCGAGACATTATAAGCAGGTGTGTGTATACTATTGTCTCCAACGCTTTCTTTTGGAGTTCTAAATATCTTTTCTGGTAAATGCATATTAGGAACAATACTATTCTCAAAAATTATATTTCTTTTGCTTTTGACAGGGAGTACTAAATAAATCAAATATACAATCACTGTTAGGCTCAATACCATGCTTACAAAAAAAAAATAGTGTCAGTTTTCTTGATGAATTAGTTTCTACTAAGAGAAAGAAAATTTGACTTCCAAATACATAACTACTGTGTATAAAGAAAATAGAGTAAATATTTTCTTTCTGCTGAGTCTGAAAAACAAATACAGAGCTTTCCAAAAGCACTTATGAGTTCCTTGGTTTCCAGGATGGGTGAGAAAATGAACTGGGATCCTGGTAAAATGAATGGGGTGTCCCAGGTAAGTTCCCATTTGCAGTTCTGAGATCAGAAATCCTCCCAGCCTAATGTCTGTATTAGCAGAACTGTGTATGTATGTGTATGTGTGTGTGTACAAGTAAACAGAATTTTTCATTATTTCGACTTCTTATTGGCTAAGGTGATTATCATCAGGTGGGAAAATCATTATTATTGTGACGCGCTAATGATAAACCGCCATTCAACGTTTTCTCCCTAAATAGCCACAGTGATGACCACCATGATAAAGAATGCAGAAACTACCTAAAATGGACATTTTGTTTCAGTCACTGTAAATGCCATAAGAATATCAATCTAAGGAAAGCACAGTCAAATTCTGCTACGTAAGACTCCCCAGGGAACAAGCTCCATCTTGGAGACTCACAGAGTAGACAAGCAGACACAGAGCCCAGGCTTGCAGACTTACCAGGCAGGTAGCTGCAGAGTCTCTTCATCGCCACCTGGACTGAGGAGTTGTGAACTTCAGCCAGCTGCTCAATCAGAGATACTGCCACCACACACCCTGAAGGGAACAGAAGAGCATGTCAGCTGCTCACCCGGGGTTGGAGGGTCTAGGGAAGGAAAGCAGAAAGACTGGGTACTTTAGCACACCAACTGAGGCACAAAATGTCCCTTGCTTTTGCCTTTAGACATCTATTGCATACCCAAACACACTGGGATTTGAAGAGAAATGAGATGTACAAGGAGAAGACTGTGGCTTGGGGGCTCAGAAAGTCAGGGGTTGTCAGAGTAGCTTCTCACTTGTGAGCTTTGTGACCTTGGGGAAGTAATTATTCTGTCTTAATATCCAGAGAAGTTAAGAGAAAGAAAGGATGCTTAAATGTGATAGAGTAAGGAAAGTTGTACATAATACATAGCTACTAGCTTCTCAGATCTTTACTTGTTCCTTGGCAGTAGACGTCTTCATTATCATTCCTACCCCACAACATCGTGGCCTGTGACCTAGAGTCAGATTTCTAATTTTGGAACAGTAGTAGAACTTTCCCAGAAGACCTAGGATTTAACTCTGACTTTACAACCTTGGACTCAATATCTTCCCTGTTTAAGTCTTGATTTCTGTATAAAGCAGAGATAAGACATTTTCTACCGTGCAACAGTGACGATCGACTGGGATCATAATGCAACTGAATGCGCCTTTGAAAAGCAGCACCTTGAGAAACATCCCAGGCCATAAGACTAATACTAGACAGTATGAACCAAATGTGCTGAGTGTGTGGAAGAAAACCTGGGCACATTGGGAATGTATTCTTTCTCTCACTTTGGTATAGAATAAGTGTTACTTCCCAGGCTTGAGGAGCTCATGTTTCTAGAAGATTCTATTACTTGCTTCAATCTACCAAACTGGGTAGAAACATCCTCGATATGTAGGTGTGTTAGAAGTTGCTAGATTTCATTCACATATTTAAAAAAAAAAAAAAAAAGAGGCGGGCACATGCTAGCAGATTTGTAGCACAGAAGTTCCACATGAAGAAGCTAACTAGAAGTGAGAATGAGAAGATTGGTGAGCAGGGCCCCCGACTCACAATCATGGCTTCTGCTAGAAGGGGAGCAACGCCACTGGGCATTTCTAGACAGAAAGAAATAAAATCTTCTATAAAATGAGAGGAAGATATAAGAGCCATCTACCTCTCTAGATACTACAGTACCCAATAGCACTTTGCTTACAATTTCTCTGGGTCCTCAGACTGCGAGGTGGTGCCCACTAGCCATGAGATTCTGAGTTCTGTACAGCTGACATTTTCCTGGGCTGATAGCATTTACTTGTGGGTGTGTTTGGTAGCATTAACTCTCAAGACTAACTGACTGTATTTTCTAATGAATTCACCATCTTTGATGGTTCTCTTACATTGCCATGCATTTAGTAGCTGATACTGGTTAGCATTCTATGACCTAAAAAGCATTTTCATGTATATTTGTTCTGTTTTAAAAATTTAAACACAATGCAATCTCATTTTAGAAAACAGGATATGAAAACAGGATAGCAAGATAATAAACCACTCATCTTACCTGGCAGGACCAATTGCACCTTCCTTTTGAGTATATCAAGCATATTAAAAAAAAATCTAAACTGCAAATGGTAAGTAATAAGTGGTTTTACTACAGTGTAGTAAGAGGCTGCAGTGCAGTTGAAAAGGAAAAGGCTTTGAACAAAAGAAAGCACAGGGTTCAAATACTAGATCAGCCAGTATTGTGACCCAGTATTTGACTGGGATGTCTACCTTTTGAAACTTCAGTCTTGAGTTTAGAGTGAACTCTGCATTCCTTAACAACGGAGTGGGCTCTCCCTGTCTTTGTGATTGGCGCAGTGCCTGTTCATAACATAGGCACAAGAGTTGTTTACTGGCTTGAAACGGGCCTGTTCGAGAGCTTGTCGGGGAATGTTGGTCACCAGTTGCTGAGCGGTTTTCCTGGGAAATGGTTCATGGTTACTTCTACAGCTCTACTATCTTACTGGTCTATTTCGGTTTTCACCTCTGGACAACAGGTCATCCCTTGAGCCAAACGGCAGAACCTATGGGAAACAGGCACCACATGCAGCTCCCAATCAAACCAGCACGTAGTGGAGAGTGCTCTGAATCCCCCCTGTGGCAGCTTAACGGTGGGCTGCACTGATTGATGCCCAGGGTGGATGAAAAGCAGGGTGCACATGGGGATTTGAAGGTCCTGTGAGAAGGCTTGGTACTGCCACTCAATGGAGATTTCATTGGGAATTGTGTCCAACTCTCAGCCTGATGCTATTATGATTCCAGGCACCTTAAATACAAAGAAATTCCATTGTTACCTCAAAATAATTTGCTATAGTTTTCATGAAAAACATCTTCAGTCTGAACCGTTAAGTAGATGACTAAGGAGTTTGGGTAATTTTCATGATTGAAGTGGACTATTGAGAAGTTAGGCCAGACCCACTGTGAGGGTGGAGTCAATATCAAAGGAATAATGCTAAGAAAGAGAGGACTTTCTTGTTTTAAAAAAGATAATAAAGGAGCATAAAAACATTTGTGAGTTGGCATGCTGCTCAGTTTCCCCTTAAGACACCATTATTTGAGATGTTGAACCTTAAGAATGATGAGAAATTAACACGTTATTCCCTTCTGATAAATATAAAACATGAAGTAAGCTCATTTTAGTCCCCCCCCCTCCACGAAAGGCTCTGGTTTCATAAGCTGTTTGTGTTCCTGTATCTTCTCTACCCATTCAGTATCCACATCAGTCTTTTTCCCTTTGTCTCAGAACTCTATACAGACATCTCTCTTACTTGTGTCAGATGCATTCTAGAACCCCACTCAGGTACCAAAATCTGTAGATGCTCAAGACCCCTATATATACACCATCGAAGACCCTTTAAGCCCCCGCTTGGTACTTGTAACACCTAATGCAATGTGCGCAGTTTGCAAATAGTTGTTATACTTTATTACTCAGAAAACGACACAAGAGGAAAAAGTCTGTACCTGCTCAAGACAGACAATTACAGCACGTTTTGATCAGAGGCTGGCTGAATACACAGGTCTGTGAGCCATGCTCATAAAAGCCCACTGTACTAACGACCTTGGGCTATCACTAGACACTGCTCTGATATCAGCTTCCTGGAGAGCAGAGTCAGTTACGTTTGTTTTTCTTTCACTCCACGACAGCACCGTGCGACCACTAAGAGCGAGACTGAAGGAAACAGTCTTAGGAAACAACCTCTGCACTGTGGGGGAGGGGACTGCCTCTCCAAGGAGCTATACCTGAGAAACCTATCAGGCTCCTGTGTGGCTTGAGAAAATAGCTCACTCGTTCTCCCTTTTCTCCAAGTATTGGGCGGGCACGGATGGAGGGATGACAAAATCTGCATCTCGTTTCTCCCAAATCAGAGGAGTCCTGTAACAGTGGCCTTAACAAAGGAAACATGCATCCAACTAAAGAAACTTGTCCTAGGCAAGAAAATAGGCAAGAAGTGATAGGCTCCTTGACAAGCAGTATGGTACGGAGAGGTATGACTCCTGTATAGGGACGCTCGCAATCTACTCCAATTTACAACAACTGGATGTTAATTAACGGCTGAAGGACTAATGAGAGGTGACTTTGCAAGAGACGGTGCAGAGCGGAAGGGAGGAAAAGCCTTCTCAGCAGAGAAACAAGACCCGCAGCCCAAAAGAGTATGACAGAAGGCTCCACATTTTTTCACAATTTAATTAGCAGCAAGTTTTCTTTTCCTGTCATCATTAAAAAATAAATAGTTTTCTATACTATAACTAATGGCCTAATAGACAGGCTAGGATGCAAGGTGTGGAAATCAGACATTCATTCAGATCAGCCTGAATGTGAGGGGAACATGGGCCATAAAGAGGGTGTTTTTTAGAGTCTGATTTTCAGAATGTCCATTCCGGTGAACCTATGGGTTGGAGTTTCTCTTTCTCGAAAAATCCACTCCAATGCTTATTTGCATTTGTTTTAAACCATGGATTAAAAGGATGCACACAAAGTGCCCTGGGCTCCCGGGGACCAGCCTGCTTCTCTGTAGCATAGGTACAGGCTTTCCTTTTGACTTTGACTCAGAGAAATCTCATCAAAGACTGATGGTTGCAGCCCTCTAGCTCTGCTGGCTAAAATTGGAAAATCATTAGGTAGATAAAAAAAAAAGAGCCAGGCCCCAGGGGTGGGGAGAAAAAAAGGCAGAGAGGGAGAAAAGCCAGTTGTCTCTGAAGACCAGGCGAATCCTCCCACTCTCATCCCTTTGCCTCGTGAAGAGGTGTGATCAAAGGGACCTCACAGACGTGCAGGTAATGGGGTTTGAAACACTGAACAGCCTGGCTGGGAACAGCTTTGATGTGAGGTCCATCTTCACCTCCCTCCAGGAGGCTGCACTCCTTTGCAGTTGAATTGTTAATTTAGGGTTTGCAGTGAAATAAGCACTGCGTTCAGCAGCAAGGATGGAGGGGTGCGAAAGGACTGAGTTATCTTTAAGGGGAGAGCCGTGGGGAGTTTGATTACCCTCCCGTGAGTATACGGACAACACAAATTGTACTTGGTTCATTTGAGGAGTGCAAGGGGTGAGAAGGCAGACCTGGGAGTAATGGAAAGTGAGCGCAACCGGGGTGCATTGTATGAAATTACCAAATAAATAACCAACAAAAATATTATGTTGGGAAGAGAAATGGAGGGATCCTCTACAGCCTAGTAAGGGCTTTCACTGCCTTGACAAGCTAAGAACTGTTTTCCTGGAAGAGACATGTGTGCTGAGTAATCCATCCTAAAACGGATTACCCTCTGGCCACTAACAAAAGGCCTGGATTTGTTGAAGTGAGTTTGTCCAATCAGGTGTCGAATTCAGAAATGAGGACAGAGGAGAGCTACACATATGATTCAGTGGTCACTATCTGAGATCTCATATATGGAAAATCCCTTTTGTACCTGGAGTCTGAAAATAGTGAGTTTCATAGCAGCAGACACCCCTGATCCAGTGAGGGGAAGAGCAGACAGGCCTGAGTGTAACCACCCGCCGCAGGGACCCCCTTCCGG